CGTCACTATCATCATCATCACTATCATCATTATCATCACTATCATCATCGTCACTATCATCATCGTCACTATCATCATCATCACTATCATCATCGTCACTATCATCATCATCACTATCATCATCGTCACTATCATCATCATCACTATCATCATCGTCACTATCATCATCATCACTATCATCATCGTCACCATCATCGTCATTATCATCATCATCACTATCATCATTATCATCACCATCATCATTAGCATCATTATCATCATTATCATCACCATCATCATCGTCACTATCATCATCATCACTATCATCATTATCATCACTATCATCATCGTCACTATCATCATCATCACTATCATCATCGTCACTATCATCATCATCACTATCATCATTATCATCACTATCATCATCGTCACTATCATCATCATCACTATCATCATCGTCACTATCATCATCATCACTATCATCATCGTCACTATCATCATCATCACTATCATCATCGTCACTATCATCATCGTCACTATCATCATCATCACTATCATCATCGTCACTATCATCATCGTCACTATCATCATCGTCACTATCATCATCGTCACTATCATCATCATCACTATCATCATCGTCACTATCATCATCGTCACTATCATCATCATCACTATCATCATCGTCACTATCATCATCGTCACTATCATCATCGTCACTATCATCATCGTCACTATCATCATCATCACTATCATCATCGTCACTATCATCATCACTATCATCATCGTCACTATCATCATCATCACTATCATCATCGTCACTATCATCATCGTCACTATCATCATCGTCACTATCATCATCGTCACTATCATCATCGTCACTATCATCATCATCACTATCATCATCGTCACTATCATCATCGTCACTATCATCATCGTCACTATCATCATCATCACTATCATCATTATCATCACTATCATCATCGTCACTATCATCATCGTCACTATCATCATCATCACTATCATCATCGTCACTATCATCATCATCACTATCATCATCGTCACTATCATCATCATCACTATCATCATTATCACTATCATCATTATCATCATTATCATCATTATCATCACTATCATCATCGTCACTATCATCATCATCACTATCATCATCGTCACTATCATCATCGTCACTATCATCATCATCACTATCATCATCGTCACTATCATCATCATCACTATCATCATCGTCACTATCATCATCATCACTATCATCATCGTCACTATCATCATCATCACTAACAGATCTTTTTTTCTGTTTAAATATCCTTGTATTTACATAACCCATATTGGTTAGATATCTTTATGTATCTTTATATATATACAGATAGATAGATAGATAGATTGATAGATAGATAGATCTTTACATAGACATGTATTTATGCAGATATCGATATAATGTTGACATGAAGTACAAATTGTTAGTAACCTCTTCATTTCAGAGACAAGAGCCTATTACCCAGCAACAATGCCGGGATGTTCAGCTACGTCAGTGTCAGTTGGCTTACCAGGCTGATGTGGAGAGCCTACAAACACGGCCTCAGTCCTGGTGATTTGTGGACGCTGCAGGTGAGCCGAGCTTTATTCGTGGTCGTTTAAAGGTGTAAGGGTGAAATTGGTGTGTGGGTGTTATGGTAATTGAGTTTTAAATTTTTGTGGCTCTCGTTTCAGATTTTTCTTGAGGGAGGAGGGGCAAGGGTTGGTAAGTGAGGGAAGGGGGACAGAAGTTTGAAGAAATTAGTTCTTCCAGCGTCATTTTGAAGTTATAATCAAGTGTGTTAAGGTTTAAATTTAGCTTTAAGAAATTGAAAATTGTGGCCCTTGGGAGGATCGAACCAGACATTGAGGGGGACAAACAGAGTCTTGGGGGGCCAGTTACAAAGCAGACCTATAGCCTTTTTTTCTTTATTTTAATGTACATTTTAGAGTAACTAACATTGCTTCTTTCCCCAAGCGAGAAGATGGTTCCGAGGTCAACTCAGAACGGATAGAGAGGCTCTGGGAGGATGAAAAAGGACTGGCAGAGCAGAACAAAAGAAAGCCCGAACTCTGGAGAGCTGTTTGGAGATCGATCAGAACCAGGGTCCTTGTCAGCATTTTCATTTCTGTCTTCCAGAACATACTCCAGTTCCTCGGACCAGTAAGTTCTTATACATCAAGAGATGTATGTGTGTAGTCGACTGTGTTTAGATCAAAATTTCTAATTTCAAAAGTTATTATTATGCTTCTTTATATATTTGATTTCTAATGAGATATTCCTGTACTCAAAATGCATGATGTAAAGTATTATGTATCATAAGATAGAAAATCAAAAGCCTCTCAAAGTGATGAAAGATAAAATATTTTCTTGGTCCTATTTTCATACATAAAAATCTTCCACATTTTCATAAATGTATTATAATATTATATTATGATTATTTTTTGTTCTGTTGTTAGAGTGTCAATCATAATAGAATTGTAATAGATTTCAAGAACTTAAGTAGACATAGCTAACTGAATTTCTTTTTTTATTTACAGTCAGTAATTCTGAAAATGGTATTAGATTACATTAACGAACCAGAAACAGACCACACGTATGCTGGCATTCTTGTGGTGGCCATATTCCTCATCAATGTGTGTAGAGGAGCTGCCTTTAATGGGATGTTTGTTGTAGGCACTCACACAGGTAAGAATATTTATGAGCTTAAGAATATTTCATGCTGAACTTATATGTTATAATTTTTTTTCCCAGTTTCCACTTTAATGTTTTCCACAACAATTACTGAGATTTTTTAAAATGTAATTCTTCTTCTTCTTCTTCTTCTTCTTCTTATTATTATTATTGATATTATTATTATTATTGATATTATTATTGATATTATTATTATTATTGATATTATTATTATTGATATTATTATTATTATTGATATTATTATTATTTTTGATATTATTATTATTATTGATATTATTATTATTATTAATATTATTATTATTATTATTGATATTATTATTATTATTGATATTATTATTATTATTGATATTATTATTATTATTGATATTATTGTTATTATTGTTATTATTATTATTATTATTATTACTGTTATTGTTATTATTATTATTATTTAGAATTTATTCAATATACATTTTTAGATGATCATGCATTTCTAAATATTATGTTTCTTAGTGAAGAATCTTTTCCTTAGCAACAAGAATAACCGGGGCAGTCCAAGCGCTCATTTACAAGAAAGTCATGAAGCTAAAGACCGGAGGTGAGAAACTCTCCGCTCAGATAATTAACTTCAGCAATAATGACATGGAGCGACTCTTTGAGGCTTCCATTTCCTGCACCTTCTTGACTGGTATGTTTCTGATATTTCATTTTGTTTTATTCTGTTCTTTGGTAGAATTTTCCCCTGAAGTTTGACTGTGTATTTTGATTGGTAAATTTCTTTTTTAGGAAATGTTATTGCTTTTATCCTCTTATAAAGACATCTTTGTGTATTTAGACATCCTCTTAGGTATATTTTATGATTCCAGCTATGCCGGTGATTTTCACAATGAGTGTGGTGTATTGCATATACATCCTTGGGCCCTGGGCTCTTATAGGACAAGGGGTGTATATCCTCTTCTATCCAATTATGGTGAGTCACCCACAGTTATTTTTCAGTTAAAGGTGAAAGAGTATTTCTTCTGTTGTTGATATAACATGTGTATGATATAGGTTGATGAGAATTATCTTAGTGTTTTCTATTTCTTATTTGAATTTTTTCTTACCACATCAAGGGAGCAATTGCAAAAGCACAGAGCAACATTCGTGTCGAAACAGTGAAGGTAACTGATAAGCGTGTGAGTCTGATGAGTGAAATCTTGAACAGCATGCGGCTTATCAAGATGTATTCCTGGGAAGACTCATTTGCCAAGAAGATAGCTGGTATGTTTAAGCTTTCTGTGTTGTATGTTATCAGATATATGATTTTTCTTTAGATGAATCACCTGGTTTGATATGTGGGGATTTAAAAATTTGCATAAATGTATAGTTTTGTGTACAGTGATTTCATGCACATATTTATATCTTTATATCAGAATACTGTAAAAATGTTTTCATTTCTTTGTGCCAAGTTACCATTTAGATTTTCAGGATTTTCATTTGCCTATAGTACAACTTTCATGTTCTTCAACCTTTCATCGTACATACAACTATTGACTATTGTATAAGATTGTATAAGGGTAATTCTGACCAGGTGATCCTATTCTCAGGAATAAGGAACGAAGAGTTGAAGAAACATCGCATTGGAGCACTCCTGCAGGCCGTGAGCTCAACTGTGACGCCGAGTATCAGTATCCTGGCGACCATTGTGACCTTCCTGGCGTACACACTTTCAGGTAATGCAAGGATGTAGTATTATATAAAATAGGAGATGTAAGGATGAAGCTTTGTGGAAAATCAAAGAGTAGTGTATGTTTTTTGGATCATTTTTGATATTACTGTATAGTAGGATGTGTATCCAAGTGAGTATCCTGGTCATTATTAAGAAAATATGATGTTTTATGATTTTGCTGAGAGGCATTCAATAGGTTTTGATTTATGTATATTCTATTACTATATACTGTGTAACACTTTTTATAATATATATATTAAAGTAATGCCTTTATAAGTAAGAAAACAGAAGTACTAAAAGCTGATAATCTTTTTAACAGGATATTCTCTCAAATCTGCTGAAGCATTCACAATATTCTCGGTCTTCAATGCCATGCAGTTTACAGTTGGTGTTCTTCCATTCACCATTCGATCAATTGCTGAAGCAAAGATTTCCTTAAGTAGGATTCAGGTAAGAGAATCTGTTGTGTTAGATATATTGATAGTGCTTAAGATGTTTACACAGAGAGGGAAGATTTAGGTAGGTCAAATAAAGATCTATGAGTTTAGCATAATGAATTTCCTACACAGATTGTATATTATTTAAATTTGTGTTTTTGAGGTACTGATGTTTATTGACACTTGATTATTCTGTGATTAACATTTTGTAGATAACTTTTTTACAGTGTGTTTTATTTATCTTTTTAAAATTATATTTTTATAGAATAAAATATAGTGTACAAACTGACTTTTACCAAAATAGTATTTTCTCAAAGTCAAAAAAAACTAACCACTATTTTGTTGCAGAAATTACTAGAACTGCCAGAGCACAAAAAACGTACAGGAGGCTTAGTCAACAACAACCTTGCACTGCAAATTAAAAATGCAACATTTGCTTGGGAAATCAATAACATAGATTTCAAAAACAAGTCAGGTCCTCCTGGTAGTGCAAAGGGAAAGAACAAGTCAGGTAAGTTTTTAAATCAAGTACTGCTGAGTAATGAAGTTCTGATGGCTTTCCATACATGTATTTGCTTCATAAGATGCAAAATATGAAATTAAGAAATATTATGTTGATTTGGTTTAAAGGAAATGCTTTTTAGCTTTTAACTTTAAGATTTTCTAGATTAGCTTTACCTTAAAAACACTTCCTCTTTCAGATACAAAAGCCAATGGTGAAGTTAAAGGAGAAAAAAATCAAACAAATGGCCATGTTACAAGTGGACAGGCAAATGGCATAAAGAATCCAGTCACAGATGGCAAGTCAGAGCCAGTGAAGTGCATTGAAACTCTCTTCAACGTCAATGTCTCTGTTGCCCGTGGGAAATTGATTGGTGTCTGTGGAAGCATCGGATCTGGGAAAAGCTCTTTGATTTCTGCTATTTGTGGAGATGTATGTTATTTGTGTTGTTCATAATGTGGAATTAAGGAATGTGATGAATGTGGGACTCATTTGTAACATGATTTTGCTGTTGATTATAAAGATCTTCATTGGAATCTGAAGTGATTTCCTTCCTTGAAACATGTAATCACAGATAGACAAGCTGCTACAATGTTATTCAAAGTAATACCTGTGACACACGTTATTTTGTGATTCTTTTTTATCAGATGAAACCCCAGAGTGGCGAAGTCCAGGTGAACGGTAGGTTGGCTCTTGTGACACAACAAGCCTGGATCTATAATGACACGTTTAGGGAGAACATTATAGTAGGACAGAAGTTTGATGAAGAACTGTACCGGAAAGTCCTGCGTGTGTGCGCCCTGGAATCCGACATCCATTTACTTGCCGAGGGAGAAATGACGGAGATTGGAGAAAGGGGCATCAATCTGAGGTAAGCCTTGGGTTCTTTCAAAAAGATGTTAGGGATGCTTGGAACAGGTGAGTTAAAGTAATTATTGTAAGATATTTCAAAATACTCATGTGCTTCTTAATTTGGGTTCCCTTAAACTGTTGTAAATAGCCTTTGGATATTTAGCTTATGATTACTTATACTTTTACAAAAAGAACAGTAGAGTATGCTACCCTACCAAGATATTTACAATTAATGTAAGTATAGTAGATTAACTAAGTATTAATTTTCTTTTCTCCTTGTTATCAAGTGGTGGTCAAAAACAGAGAGTGAACCTAGGCCGTGCAGTCTACAGTGACAGGGACATCTATCTGCTTGATGATCCTCTCAGTGCAGTTGATGCCAAAGTTGCAAAGCACATTTTCAACCAGTGCGTCTTAGGTGCTCTTAGCAACAAAACAGTCATTCTTGTTACCCATGCAACTCATGTAAGTTTGCTTGCAAAAGAATGAAACCTTTATATTAATTAGTAATGCAATACTCGAATATAGTAAAAAAATTAACATCTCAAATCCTTATTACACAAATATTTGATGCTTATTTGAATTTTACTTTCTTTCACTGCAGTTTCTGGAAAAATGTGATGAAATAATCTTGATGCAAAATGGAAAGATCGCAGAGCGGGGATCACACGCTGAACTCGTGGCTCGTAAAGGAGAATACTTTGACATGATTGGCTTCGATTCTACCCGAGACAAGAGTGAAAATGAAGAAGACCCTGGCGAGAAGAAGGACGAAACTGTAAATGGTATGTTCTGTTCAGGAGGAAATATAGGGCTGGTATTTTCAGTTGCAGTTTAGATAAACAGATAAAGAAAAGTATTGGATAAATGTAAGATTGTATGCTGAAGATAAAGATTGATTTGTTTTTCTTATATTATATTGTGTTGAGATTGATTTATTTTTGTTAGATGACATTTTGTGGCCTCAAATGTTACATATTTTATTAGTATGTGATAACATGCATATTGTAAATAAGTTACATAACAGTGTTATTTTTTTGTTGTATGTCCATTGTATTTTGTAAGTGTTGTGTTTGTAAAGCTTCCTTAATGCATGTCTTATAAAAGTAGTCAAGATTGCACAGTAATAATGTCTATGTCTATTTTTTGTGTGAAAATATTTAATATATTTGTCACAGTATCCTCATCTTTGCTTTTATACTAGTGCATGGCTTCTCAGCATGAAGAAATAATAAGTTGAATAAGTTGTTACAAAACCTATTTGATTACTTCATTAGAAAACAGTACTTGGTTATATCTGTCAGCCTAGAGTTTATAGACTAACCATCACATGTGACCAGTTTTAGCTGAGGAGTTGCACTTCAGTATTGTTACTAATTTTTCTTTTAGTTTCTGGGATGTTCTTTAACTATTTTCACTCTGAAATATCATATGAAAACAAACACACAAATACCTTGGTGTAAACTTTATCATATATTGTTTAGTAAGGGGATATACAGGCGATGAAGAATTTCCAAGTTTAAAAAAGACAAGGATATGACATATAAAGACATATAATTGAAAGACGGAAAGGAAGAAAGGACTTTGGGAATTTGGATGTGAGTTGGTTTCTTCGTGGAAGGAAAAGAAATCCAACGTCTTGACTCTCATTAACACATCTGAATTATTACTCTTTTCTCTTAGATGGAATACCAGCAGTCAAACTCAGAAGTAAGTGAGATAGAATTTCAGTAGCGCCTGTTACAGGACTGTTATATACTAGGAAGAGCCAACTTCATCTTTATTTTTTCTTATATTACAGTAAAGCTTCATAGTGGCAATGCTGTTTCAACCTGTAGGTTGTGCTAGTTTGCTTTACATTGTATAAGAAAGAAAGAAATATGCTGTGTTTGAGTTGTAAGAGTTTGACAGAATATCTTGGTCTTGTCCTTGATGTAGATTTGCAGAAGAAGAGTTCAGGTATTAGTCAGATGCCGTAGCTGAATACACAGTACATGCTAAAGCCACAATTATGTGTTTAAAGGCATATGAGATCTCTCATATCATTTTGCTATCTTGTTTTGTTTACATATTTGTTTAATGTTGCATATTTGCTTGAATTTGGCTTGTAAGAAGAGCGTATCAGGTGCTCCAGATTTTGTTTTATTTTTCTACTAACTAAAGTGAGTAGTTGTGATGATGCTTCCCATTATTCTCTTAGTAACTTACACAGAAAATTATTATTTTTGTTGACTGTATTGTTATTTTCCATCTCACATTCAGTGTAGTGTAATGTAGATGAATGAAACACATTTGAAACATACCTAGTTATTCAGGAAGCTTGCTTTTGCATTTTTTGAAAAGTGGCTTTGCTGTAATTGCTAGAAAAAAATGCATTACTCATCTCAATGTGCTTATGCTTACCATTTTATAAATTCTTTAATGTATATTATATCTCACCTTTCTGTATGTTATTACAAGTAGCTACTTGGTTTTGGTAAAGGCTTCAAGGGTAATCCAGGGTTTGAAGGGATAAATCAAAAAATAATAAAAAATAAAAGCTCAGTACTACCAGATGTTTAATGTGTGTAGAAACAACTGGATATGTATTAAGGATTGTTTATCTCTTAGATGTGAAAAAAGAAGAAACTGAAGATAAAGAGGGCAGAGGAAAGTTAACAACGGAAGAAACTAGAGCAACTGGTAGTGTGAGCGGCAAGGTCTATTTAACGTTCATTAAGGTAAAATGAAGGTTTTGACTGGTGTTTTTTGAAGCAATGTGGGAAGTGAAAAAATGTGTGGAAATATGTACTAAATTATGTATTTTCATGTGTCATATTTTAAAAGAGCTTTCATTTTTGGAAGCAGTATTAGTTACATTATATTAACATATCTCAAGATTATTTACCTCCAACAAGTAATGTAACTTCTTTTGCTTTCAGGAATCTGGAGGTTGGTGCATTGCCAGCATTATCTTCCTTGCAATTATCATTTTCACACTCACACGAATGTTTAATGCTATATGGCTACAGCAGTGGTTGGATAAGGTTAGTGTAGACCAGTTTGATTTTCATTTTTATTTTTGATGATGATTTTGATATGTCTGATGTGTGTTCTACCTTTTTTTTTGTTTAGTCTTGTAGAAATTTGGCTGAGAAATAAAATTCACATTTTCTCTGGACTGTATTCACTGTGACAAAAGCAGAAAAGGTATGATGAAAATGAATATATTCACAGTGCATGATGTATTTAACTGATATTGATTATACCTTTCTCCAAAATTTCTGACAAATGTATTATCAAAACTGTTAAATACATCTCTTGCACTGTGAAGGTATTCATTCTCATTCATACGCTTTGTACTTCTGTTATTATGTTTAGGGAAAATAATCAGAAACATAGTAGACACTAGAATTACTCTTTGAGTGTCATGAATAACTAAAGAATTATTTTGCTTTCAGGGTGATGGCAGGGCGGAAGAGAGGAAGGACAATGTGACGGCATATAATCTTACACTCTCAGACGATGAAATTAAAGGAGATATTTCACAGAATCCCATGTTGTGGATGTACCAGCTTGTGTACGGTTTGAGCTTCATTCTGCTTCTTATCACAGGCGTCATCAAGGGCATTGGGGTGACATTCAGGTAGGGAGGCTCTCTGGATTCGTTTGGAAGACATTTGCATAGTACATTTCTGTTGAAATATTTGTTGAAATGCATATATTTGTTTATGATTTTAAGAGATGAAAAGGAGAAAATTTTTGATGGATGAATACCTTTGCAGAGTGCTGGCCGGTGCATCAAAGTTGCACAACAAGATGTTTGAGAGCATTCTCCGAGCCCCCATGAGTTTCTTTGACACAACTCCGTCTGGACGTATTTTGAACCGATTCTCCCGAGACTTGGATGAGTGTATGATACTTTATTTTCTCTGTGACTTTCATTTACATCATTTGCATACATTGGATATACATGTGTCTAATTCTTTTCATTCATTGTTACTCACTAATACACTTGTGTGATATATGAACAGAAAATATACTTGTGCTAAAAGCTGAATTATTATAATTTTTAAGATTACCAGTCTTACTATATTGCAGGTATATTAATACAGCTTGGAAAATGTATTAACTGTATGTAATAATTCATGATATTCCTTGGGAAAGTGAACTGAAGATAGATTCAGCATTGTTTTTTTCATAACATTGTTTTGGAATAGAAATTAAAATCAAGATAAATTTTTCCTTGACAGTGGATGTGCGAGTTCCGTTCTTCCTAGAGTTCTTGCTTCAGGGTCTCTTGTTTGTGTTCGGCCAGATCATCCTCGTGTGCTTTATCTACGTTTGGTTTGTCCTCCCACTCGTTATCATTGTCAGTAAGTGAAAATTTTTTCTCTCTTCTTTTTTTGTGAAAAAAAAACTTTTCAAATGCCATTTTGATTTTTATTCTTGAGGAACTGTTATGAGTAGTGTTTTGATGGTGTTTGTTAATTGAAACTTTATTCTTTACAGTTTTGTTTATTGTGGTTGATGTATTCTTGAATGCTGGTGTGAGAGAGCTGAAACGTCTAGATAACACTCTAAAATCACCTGTCACTCAGCATATTGGGTCATCTATCTCTGGACTTTCTGTCATCCGTGCCTTTGACAAAGAGAGATTATTCATTAACAGGTTTGTTGCACTGAATTCTTTGCTATCTATTCTTTAGCAATACTAATTCACTTTTAATTTGATATGAATTGCAAAGATTTTTAGCCAGACCTCAGTGCTAAGATGGTGTCTCTTTGTCCTCACTTGCAGAATGTACAAACTTTTGGACAAACATTCCTCTTCACTTCTGGTCTTCCGCTTGTCAAATCGGTGGTTCACGTACCGCATGGACTTCATGGCTATTTGTGTCACAGTGGCTGTCACTGTGATTTGTGTGTTTACAAAGGGCCTTGTAAGCACTGCTCTTGCTGGTCTTGCTCTGTCAACAGTGAATGGAGTAAGTATTTTACTTGATTGAGTTCATTTGGATGTGAAACTTTTTTGATATCAGTAACTAAGATCAATAGAATTTGTTCTTATTCATACATACAAGTAATTTGATAAGGTTTTATGTTTCAGATATTTTCACTCACCTGTTGATTTTCAATAAAGGGAATAGCTGCAGGTAGTTTTAACCTTATCATTTGTCTTATTTCAGGTGTGTGTTTTTATTCCCTTCTTGATGAGGATGAAGTCAGAATTCCAGTCACGTGTTACATCAGTGGAGAGAATTGTTGAATATGCCTATGTAAGTCGAGAGTCAACATTTAAACATTTAAACATTTGTAGAATATCAATATAGTAAAGCTTCTTACACAGAATACTTCTTAGACAACTTTTAAATTTCAAGCCAAAAAGTTTAGCTTCTAAGTTTTTCTGTTCCATTATACTTCAGGAATTGCCGAGTGAAGCACCACGCCAAATTCCCTCCTCGGAACCGGCTGCAGGATGGCCCTCGTCAGGCACTTTGGAATTAAAGGATGTAAAGCTGCGTTACCGACCTGACCTGCCTCTGGTTCTTCACGGCATCAGTGCCTCAATAAAGGATGGGGAAAAGATTGGCATTGTGGGGCGCACAGGAGCAGGTTTGTGCTTTTGCTGATTTTCAAGATGATTCATAATAAAGGAACTCATGTCTTTAGTTAAAGCAGGATAAGTTATTGCAGAGGATTATGTGGCTTTTCGAATGGAAATTAATATATTGAATGTTTTGATACACCGATTATCCCTTTTTAATGACAGGTGACTTTAGTTTTTTATCCTATGGACTATTTTGTTGATTTTATTTATGAAGACCTAGCTGTAGCTTTTATTGGTATTCAGTTTATTATGATTTTTAGTAACTAGTAATAGTTAACAATAGTAACAATAGTAGTAACTATTGTTCACAAATTTCTTAATATGGATTGTTTAATTTTCACATTGGCGAATAATTGTCAGCTTCTTAAAAAGCACTATTTGATTGTGAAGGTCAGGGGTCCTTCAGTAGATTGAGGAATTAAATGTTAAGGAATTGAATATAACCTGATAATAAAAGGCTTTGTTTTCCAGGCAAATCCTCACTGATTTCAACATTACTACGTATGTCAGAGTTGGATTCTGGCAGTGTTATCGTTGATGGAGTGGACATTAGCAAGATTGGTCTACATACACTTCGTTCTCATATCTCTGTTATTCCTCAAGACCCAGTTCTTTTCCAGGGCTCAATTAGGTTAGTATTTAAGCTTAGAGCATGTTGGTATAAGGTATACAGTGACTGGTATTTTTCATATCTAATTGAATATGACTTTTTATAGGATTTATAACCAGGTCAACATCAAAAGAAAAGTATGTTATAGTGAATGAATGTTCTCAGTCTTTAATCTTTTATATCCAGCTAGACTGCTTAGAAATAGAAAAGGTTAAGAACAATTTAAGAAGAAGGAAATTTCCAATTTACAGGTACAATTTGGATCCCTTTGAAGAGCATTCTGATGATGCAGTCTGGCAAGCACTAGAACGCTCTCACCTCAAGGATGTTGTCACGAAACAGGAACATAGTTTACACTCCAAAGTAGAAGCAGCTGGAGAGAATTTCTCGGTTGGAGAAAGGCAACTTATTTGCCTTACGAGAGCTTTACTTAGAAATAGTAAGGTAAGAACTGGGGCTTTCATTTTTTTGTGTAGTGCTAAGTGAGTTATAGATCTGAAAATTATTTTGGGGTTTTAGTTTTATTGATGTTAAATAAAGTTAGATTTAGTAAGTGAGGCTCATGATTGATTTTAGGAATAAAGTAAAAAAATAAAGCAATAAACAGAAAGTGTTTAAGACATGTATTGTTTATTTGCTTTGAAGATCTGCATGCAGTGTTTGTAATGATATTTACAACACCTAAGAACTTACTGCTATATTTATATAAATTATCAAGTCAGCAAGTTAACAGAACAATTATGGACTTTTCAGATTCTTTTGCTAGATGAAGCAACAGCATCAGTTGACATTGAGACTGATCATTTAATCCAGACTACCATAAAAGAGGCATTTGTCAACAGCACTGTCCTCACCATTGCTCACAGACTCAACACTGTGGCCAATTATGATAGAATAATGGTGCTAGATGCAGGAAGGGTAAGTTTTGCTCTTGTGTTCAAGGAGAAAGGAAAAGTGAGAGAGAGGGCTAGAAGGAGATGGAGAAGAAGGGGCAGAGTGAGCAAATGAGGTAGAGAATGAAAGAGTGAAAATGAGAGTGAGAAGAAGGGGGAGGAGAGGGGAAGTTGGGAAAGGGAATGGGAATGGGAATGGGAATGGGAGAGGGAGAATGAGATGGAGATGGAATGGGAATGAGGATGGGAGAGAGAGAGGGAAAGGGAAAGGGAGAGGAAGAGGAAGAGGGAGAGGGAGAGGGAGAGGGAGAGGGAGAGGGAGAGGGAGAGGGAGAGGGAGAGGGAGAGGGAGAGGGAAAGGGGGGAATTATAGGTAGAGGTAGGGATGGAGGTGGAGGTGGAGGTGGAGGTGGAGGTGGAGGTGGAGGTGGAGGTGGAGGTGGAGGTGGAGGTGGAGGTGGAGGTGGAGGTGGAGGTGGTAGTGGAGGTGGAGGTGGAGGTGGAGGTGGAGGTGGAGGTGGAGGTGGAGGTGGAGGTGGAGGTGGAGGTGGAGGTGGAGGTGGAGGTGGAGGTGGAGGTGGAGGTGGAGGTGGAGGTGGAGGTGGAGGTGGAGGTGGAGGTGGAGGTGGAGGTGGAGGTGGAGGTGGAGGTGGAGGTGGAGGTGGAGGTGGAGGTGGAGGTGGAGGTGGAGGTGGAGGTGGAGGTGGAGGTGGAGGTGGAGGTGGAGGTGGAGGTGGAGGTGGAGGTGGAGGTGGAGGTGGAGGTGGAGGTGGAGGTGGAGGTGGAGGTGGAGGTGGAGGTGGAGGTGGAGGTGGAGGTGGAGGTGGAGGTGGAGGTGGAGGTGGAGGTGGAGGTGGAGGTGGAGGTGGAGGTGGAGGTGGAGGTGGAGGTGGAGGTGGAGGTGGAGGTGGAGGTGGAGGTGGAGGTGGAGGTGGAGGTGGAGGTGGAGGTGGAGGTGGAGGTGGAGGTGGAGGTGGAGGTGGAGGTGGAGGTGGAGGTGGAGGTGGAGGTGGAGGTGGAGGTGGAGGTGGAGGTGGAGGTGGAGGTGGAGGTGGAGGTGGAGGTGGAGGTGGAGGTGGAGGTGGAGGTGGAGGTGGAGGTGGAGGTGGAGGTGGAGGTGGAGGTGGAGGTGGAGGTGGAGGTGGAGGTGGAGGTGGAGGTGGAGGTGGAGGTGGAGGTGGAGGTGGAGGTGGAGGTGGAGGTGGAGGTGGAGGTGGAGGTGGAGGTGGAGGTGGAGGTGGAGGTGGAGGTGGAGGTGGAGGTGGAGGTGGAGGTGGAGGTGGAGGTGGAGGTGGAGGTGGAGGTGGAGGTGGAGGTGGAGGTGGAGGTGGAGGTGGAGGTGGAGGTGGAGGTGGAGGTGGAGGTGGAGGTGGAGGTGGAGGTGGAGGTGGAGGTGGAGGTGGAGGTGGAGGTGGAGGTGGAGGTGGAGGTGGAGGTGGAGGTGGAGGTGGAGGTGGAGGTGGAGGTGGAGGTGGAGGTGGAGGTGGAGGTGGAGGTGGAGGTGGAGGTGGAGGTGGAGGTGGAGGTGGAGGTGGAGGTGGAGGTGGAGGTGGAGGTGGAGGTGGAGGTGGAGGTGGAGGTGGAGGTGGAGGTGGAGGTGGAGGTGGAGGTGGAGGTGGAGGTGGAGGTGGAGGTGGAGGTGGAGGTGGAGGTGGAGGTGGAGGTGGAGGTGGAGGTGGAGGTGGAGGTGGAGGTGGAGGTGGAGGTGGAGGTGGAGGTGGAGGTGGAGGTGGAGGTGGAGGTGGAGGTGGAGGTGGAGGTGGAGGTGGAGGTGGAGGTGGAGGTGGAGGTGGAGGTGGAGGTGGAGGTGGAGGTGGAGGTGGAGGTGGAGGTGGAGGTGGAGGTGGAGGTGGAGGTGGAGGTGGAGGTGGAGGTGGAGGTGGAGGTGGAGGTGGAGGTGGAGGTGGAGGTGGAGGTGGAGGTGGAGGTGGAGGTGGAGGTGGAGGTGGAGGTGGAGGTGGAGGTGGAGGTGGAGGTGGAGGTGGAGGTGGAGGTGGAGGTGGAGGTGGAGGTGGAGGTGGAGGTGGAGGTGGAGGTGGAGGTGGAGGTGGAGGTGGAGGTGGAGGTGGAGGTGGAGGTGGAGGTGGAGGTGGAGGTGGAGGTGGAGGTGGAGGTGGAGGTGGAGGTGGAGGTGGAGGTGGAGGTGGAGGTGGAGGTGGAGGTGGAGGTGGAGGTGGAGGTGGAGGTGGAGGTGGAGGTGGAGGTGGAGGTGGAGGTGGAGGTGGAGGTGGAGGTGGAGGTGGAGGTGGAGGTGGAGGTGGAGGTGGAATTGTCAGTAAAATAAGAAGTGGAAAAAAGATTGTGATGAGGTTTAAGCTTTAAAGATATTCACTCATCTGTAAAAGTGACTGAGTAATCAAGGAGCTTAAGTCTGGAATATATTTTATTGTGCTATGTGTTCTCAAAGATGTGTCAGCATTTTACAGTCTCAGGAATGAAACACTGAAATACCCAAATGATAGAGCATTGTGTTTAGTAGATTCAGAATGTAACTTTATTTTGAGGTTGTTATTTTCAATGCAAGGAAGCAGTGCATAAAAGTATGAAAATTAGGCTTCGTTCCTTAAAAGTGATTACTTTTTTTTCACTTAAGTTAAGATATTTTGTTTGAATTGTAATTTAATGTGCCAAGTTTATTTTTAACATTTATTCAATCAGTTTGGGTTAGAAAGACCTCTGAGAGAACCCACACATTTAGATAGATAAATATCAGTATGTACAAATATCACACAACAGTAGTTCTGGATGTAAGTCACTTTAGAAGATCTGTTGTTCTAGCTAATATTTTGTGGAATGTAACATTGAAATGCCTCCAGATTTCATTAAGAATCAGCAGGTGCCTTTCACATTCACTCATTTACACTGTCTGTCCAGGACTCACACTCCTCTCATAAGGCTATCATTCTGTCATGCATGAAATCCTAAAATTCAGGGATTATCTCAACTACCTGTTCCTAGTAATCATGATTAGTGTATTGGACAAATGTGGTGTCAACAAATTTATCTGGATTACTTCCCTTTATGTGAAATTTCATTAAACCTTGTCTCTGTAAGTTACCTCTAAGTGACCAAATATTGTCTTTTTTTTGGGCAGTTATGAAGGTCATATTCATAACTGCATTATTTGTATTGTGTGTAAAGGATACACTACTGAGCAAGAAGCATTTTTATTATCATTATTAAATAATACTTTGTGTATATATGTTGCTGTTCAAGAGATGTATATAGTTGATGCTGAAAATTGTTTCTCTTATTTTCCTCTGTATTGTCAATGTAATTTTTTATATAACATGAGTTATTCAGGCTGTACCTTCATTCAATTGAAATAGAAATGGAGAATCAATGTAGTCCTTATTTGTTTATTGCAATTTATTTCATAATTTTATTCATGACAAAATAATTGGCTACAGGACCAGGTACCGTATTGTGTTGATGATACCATCAATTAAAACCTTACATGTGAAGCAAAGTAAATTCAGGAAAAATTACAAATTGACCTGTATTATTTGTTGATTGAAATAGTAAAAGTGTCTTTTTCACACTATTTTTTATTCCCCTTTCCTTATTTAGCGCATGTCTCTTTAACTTCCCACTGAGGCTTTAAAAGGCAAAATTTTGTTATGACTTGATTAAGATGCAAAGTGGTATTTTCCTTTAATTAATTGTTCTTCCTGTTAACATTTACAAAAAATAAAGAGTAAGAAATATCAAACCTAAGGGTGATGATAGAACTTGATGAATTTATAGATTAGATAGAATATACCTTGGTGCTTCATGAAAGTTGAAATATGAAATAAAGTTAATTCCAGTCTGAAGTCTACAGAAAAATACTAACAAACAATAAAACAAGTGATATATGGTAAATACAGGAGCATATATAAGATTAATATATTATTTAAAACATACAAACATACATATAAATATTTTATTCCCAAGTAATAAGGAATGAAAAATAATGACCTTGAAGGCAAAGGAAATAAATAAAACAAGATCTGATATTTATATAAAACATTCCCATTCTTGGAACATCTGGTCCTTGGGGCAGGATGAGTGGTTATCCCTGCTACTGAGGGAACTGAAGTGGTTGGAAGGTGAGGTGGCTGCCTTCTCAGAGGTGAGAGGACCTGGCAGTGGCACAATCAGTATAGGTGGCTACACCTACTACTGGTCAGGCTGGGTTAATGGTTATCATTTCCAGGGAGTAACCATAGCCATCTCCAGCTGACTTCAACCCTTGGTATTGGAGGTTACACCAGTTGATGAGTGTATTATGGCTCTGAAACTGGAGCATACTTTTGGCTTCATGTCTGTTCTTGCTGTGTATGCTCCTACTGATTTTTGCAAACTCAATGAGGAAGAGGCATTTTATGCCAAACTCACATCTGTCGCAGAAAATGTCCCAGGCGAAACATTCACATTGTTATGAGCGACTTTAATACGGTATCCAGCTGTGGTTGAGCTAGCCAAGGAAATTGACCACATTGTTGTCTGCACTCACTGGAGGATCCTTCAAAATTGGAGCGCTAAGCTTTGTGGCACTGACCATAGGCTGGTAGTGGCTACTCTACAGGTCCACTTTAAACTCCTTGCCCCACTGGTGGCCACTCTAGGGTGTTTCACTTGGACAGATTAAGGGAGGAGGAGCATGCACAGAGGTTCGCCATGGCAGTTTCTAATCAGTTCACAGAGCTCGAAAACCTGTGGGTGTCCTTAAGCGTGAAACACTCGATGAAGTGTAGGAGTCCATTTACAAACTCCTGAAGACAAGGTAGAATTTCATCTAACTGGAGATATTGGAGGCCACAGAAGCATGTCGAATGGCTCAACTTAATGACAATCAGGACTTGTGCCATTCCTTGGTGCATAGGGCTCAGACAGGCTGAGACGGGACAAGGAACAGTTCATCAGTAACCTTTCTGAGGAGATTGAAGGCCATTTCTTTGTAAATGCCCTTCGCCCAGCCTACCAAGCCCTGAGAAAACTAAACTCTAAGCCCTCCTCACAGATGATTACAGTCCACTCAGTGGGTGGACAGATCATGTTGGGGTTTGTGCATATTGGGTTGAGTATTTTGAGCAGCTGTACCAGGTATACCCTCCAACAGTTAGTCTCGACGCAAATGGTGTCAAAATACCTTTGCCGGACCCACCCATCAGCAAGGAACCTCCTACTCTAACTGAGGTTAGATAGTCGATCTTTAAGCTGAGGGGTGGGAAAGCTGTAGGCATATGCGATATCCCTGCTGAACTGTTAAAGGCTGGGGTGAGCCTATGGCATGGGGATTGTATATGGTCATGACTGCCAAATGGCAGTCTGGTTCCATTTCCCCCTGACCTGCTGAGGGTCATGGTTATCCCTCTCCGGAAGGGGAAAGAGGATCGATGGGACTTTAGCAACGACCGTGGCATCACACTGCTCAATATACCAGGCAGTATTTTCACCCACATCCTTCTGAAACGGATCTGTGGCCACCTACTAAGGCACCAGAGATTGGAGCAGTTTGGATTCACTCCTGGCAAGTCCACAATAGACCGTATTCTGGCTATTCGAGTCATTGTGGGACGTGTCGTGTTTGGTTGTGGGCTTCTTGCAGCCTACATTGACCTCAAGAAGGCATTTGCCACGGTGCATCGTGAATCGCTATGAGAGACCCAGAGACTGGCGGATCCCTATACGGAATATTGGCCTGATAGCAAGCTTCTTCCCAGTTGATTCACGGGTGAGGTAAGGTTGTGTCCTTCCACCAACACTTTCCAACATGGACTGAATGATGGGAGGAGCTACTATCTAAAGTCAGTGTGGAGGAACACTGGGGAATATCAAGGTCACAGACCTCGACTTTGCTGACGATGTTGCTATCCTATCTGAGTCTCTGGAATCATTGGTGGTGGCTCTTGATGCATTCAGCAATGAGGCGAAACCTTGGGTCTAAAGGTCTCCTGGACCAAGACCAAGATCCAGGATTTTAGGGACCTGATAGGAGAACCTGTTCAGTCGATACATTCTTGTGTGAGGACATTGAAATCACAGAGAGCTTTGCATATCTTGGTAGCGTAGTTCATGTCTCTGGGCCGTCAGACCAAGAAGTCAGTAGACGGATTTGTCTGGCAGCAAGTGCCATGAACTCGGTCAACAATAGTATTTGGAGATGCCATTGCATATGCAGAAAGACCAAGCTACGTATCTTCAAGGCCTTGATACTGGACGTTATTTAGCGCTTTGGAGTCTCGTCCTGATGCCTTTTGTAACAAGTCCCTACGTTGGATCATGGGGTACAGTTGGCAGGACCATGTGCCCAACCAACGGCTGTCTATAAGACAGACATGGGATCTGTTACTTGCATAATCCGGGACTGCCAACTCAGGCTATGTGGGCAGCTAACTCGTTTCCCAGTGGCCATCAGGTTGTCCCATTGGGTGAAGGAGGCCCGTGGGACGACCTAGGAGGTCATGGCTCGGGCAGCATGACCAGTCCTGTCGCGAGGAGTTAGAGGAGTGCCGAGGAGCTCTGTGGTTGGAAACGAAGGGTGGATGCGGCCATGCTCCTCCATCGGCGTTAGCCACCCGATGATTCTAAATAGTAATATACACAAGGAAAGGCACTAGCCAAACTGCAACCAGAATTTAAGCTACAAACTTATAAAGATACATGTCTAGCTTATCAAAGCCAGAAATGATAACGTAGAGAGAGAGAGAGAGAGAGAGAGAGAGAGAGAGAGAGAGAGAGAGAGAGAGAGAGAGAGAGAGAGAGAGAGAGAGAGAGAGAGAGAGAGAGAGAGAGATCCTTGCCGTGTTAGTTGTAAAATATCTGCGTTGCGAGAAAATAACCAAGAAAATAACCGAGAAAATATCATACCACTATGAGAGGTCAAAACGGTAAGTGGTAGCGCGCTGAACCACTGTTGATTACGACATCCAATCAGAAGAGGTAGGTCCTGCCAAATAACCTCTCCATTATGAAATGAGAGAGGCCTGAATCTGTAGTGGAATGGAAGACTGTTGAATAGTAATAATGATGATGATAATGTAGATATACATATGTACACACACACACACACACACACACACACACACACACACACACACACACACACACACACACACATATATATATATATATATATATATATATATATATATATATATATATATATGTATGTATATATACAAATGTATACATATATATATATATATATATATATATATATATATATATATATATATATATATATATATATATATATATATATATATGCACACACACACACACACACACACACACACACACACACACATATATATATATATATATATATATATATATATATATATATATATATATATATATATATATATATATATACACACACACACACACACACACACACACACACACACACACACACATATATATATATATATATATATATATATATATATATATATATATATATATATATATATATATATATATATATATGTATATACTAAGGGTCGGATTATCCTATAGGCTTGTATAGGCTACAGCCTAGGGGCCCTCGAGCTTGGGGGCGCCAAGCTTGAGGGGCTTGACAAAATATTTTTTTTCACTACGGTTGTGTTGAAATATAATAAAATAGTGGTATTTAAAGAATAATTTTATTGACAAACAAAAGATAGCTATGCTAGTTTATTTAAGGAATTTGCAATAAGTTTACTTCAAGCTATGCAAATGTCTCTAAAATATATCACGAGGAAAAACTATTCTGAGGGGGCCCCATAATTTCATTAGCCTAGGGGTCCCAAAAGGTATTAATACGACCCTGCATATATATATATATATATATATATATATATATATATATATATATATATATATATATATATATATATGCACACATACACACACATGCACGCAAATAGATAAGTAGATAAATAGATATACACGCACACACACACATACACATACACATGCACATACACATACACATACACACACACGCACACGCACACGCACACACATACAGACACACGCACACAAATAGATAAGTAGATAAATAGATACATACATAAATACACACACACACACACATACACACACACACACACACACACACACACACACATATATATATATATATATATATATATATATATATATATATATATATATATATATATATATATGTATGTATGTATGTTTGTATGTATATGTATGTATATGTATATGTGTGTGTGTGTGTGTGTGTGTGTGTGTGTGTGTGTTTCTTGACATTCTGACGACGACTTTCCTTTCTCATTGAAAAGCTCGCTTTCTAAAAGACTCGTTATTTGAACACGTTAAGATCTGTTGTGGTTCATGGTTAGAACAAATAAATTTGCCTGCCAAGGTCACAAGCACTATGGTACAGTATTGTAGTGAAAAAAGGGTAAAAACGAGTTAACGATTAGGATAAGTGGACAGAAGAAGGGGATAAAGAAGTGGAGGAAAAGGAAAGATGGAGAAGAAAGGACGCTGCAAAATTAGTCGAGGCAAGGTCTAAGGTCCAAGGTAAGGGTGATGCTTATTTGGTCTATTTTTTACCGTGGAATATATAATTACGATGATGGTAATATATTGCACACTCTAATAATAAGCATGAGGGTGTTATGCAATGATTGTTTCTCACCTTCTTCCTCCCTCTCTCTCAATCTCTACCTCTCATTACCTCTAACTCTCTCTCTCTCTCTCATCACCTCTTTCTCTCTCACCCCCGCCCATCCTCCTTTCCTTTCTCTCTCTCTCTCTCTCCTATCGACCCTTTCTCTCTCATCCCCTCTCATTCCCCTTTCCTCTCTCTCTCTCTCCCATTGATTCTTTCGCTCTCATCCTCCTTTCATCTCTCTCTCTCTCTCTCTCTCTCTCCGCTGCCACCAATGTAACATTTGGCGTGTGATGAGGTAGGTTAGCTATCTTGACGTTCAGTGACACAAATCTTCTACACAGATTTTTATTCAAAGTTATTGGAGTACAACAAGCGACAGATTATCTACAAATTTACAAAGTAAACGGATATGTAAAGCAAGAAATCCACTTATGGTAGAGTATGTGATTGAGGCTGTCCAGAGGCCTAAGTTGTTTTGTCTGCAAGAGGTATGTGACTCTTACTTGAAGGGGTGAAGTGTGTATGTATAAGTGCGAGTGGATGATGGTGTGATGTATGATTTAATTTGGATATTTTTGGCAGTATGTAGGTATTAGTTTTTA